AGTGATGAGGAAGGGAGTGACCCAGTAACAGCTAACGATGCCCCTCAGGTTCCTTTAATAGAAAGGAAAAAATACATGTTTCAGCATGCCGATGGAAGACTTAACAATGGTCCAGTGTGAGAGACTATAGCAATCGGAAAACACTCTGCACTGGAGCTGTTGGAACTAGGGAAGATTTTCAAACAAGTAATGAAGGAGCCCCTCACCACTTGGCTTGTGAGGATATGGGACATGGGAGCAAATGATATTAGTTTAAGTGCTACGGAAGCATTAAAGCTGAGCAATATAACCACCCATCCCTCCTTGAGACATAGGCTGCATAACTTGAGACAATACAGGGGGACTCAGTCCCTGATGGGCTGGCTTATACGAGCCATTAGTGATACTTGGTCATTATTACCAGTGGAAGTTCCCATGGGTATCAGGGTCTGGAGGACAACAGAGGAGGGACACACACTACTGAGAGAATGAGGTATGAGGAAATCAATGTATGATACCCAGTTCACTTGGCCAGATAGGACTGTGTTTCACCAGAGATTCAAAGAACTTGATTCAGCAAGGACCTCGAGATTGTATGGAGCTTTAGTGGCTTTGCTGAGTCCCTTAGTGGGGCAGGATCTTTGTGAAGTAGGGCAGGCTTTGGCAAATCTAAGTGACTTAGAGCAGCATGTAAAATGTGTTTGTAAAATAGCAGAACAACCTAAAAGAGATAGAAAAAAGACAAAGCAGAGAAAGAAGTCTGTTTGGGCCACTCAAAGGCAAATGTGGCAAGATTTGTGTCTAGCCCAAGGTTCCTAAGGAAAAAATTGACAAAAAGCCAGATTCTGTGCTAAGGAGCTTCTGGAAGGCTTTAAAACTTGAGAACAGTTCACAAAAGGCACACAGCAGATAAAAACTGTCCCAGGGGTGGATAATGACCCCCCAAGATTAAACGGTACATTTCTTTCATGAGAAAGATTATGCTAGGGGTGGAGCTAGCCCCATTGAGTTTATCAGGGATGGAGAAATGCAGGGAGGCTCCATGTAAGAAATCCAGGATATGGAATGGCTCCAAAAAATGACTAAAGATAGTAAAGACCTAAGTTGATGCCTCTTATCCATGCTATTGTACCCAACATAAATCTGTTGAGAAAACAATTGATACAAATGGATAAAATCTTTCCATGCTGTGTTAGAACTTGTTTATGTTTAATTTAGTATATAATGTTAACCTCTGAGTGTTTTGTAGATGTGGAACCATTTGAGAGATATCAAGTACACCTGGAAAAACAAGAGACAGGTAGAGCTGTGAAATTCTTGGGAGCTTTATGGTCAGGTAAGGCACAAGTGATACCCACCAAGATGAGTGGAAAAAGTCAAAAACAGCCTGAGCCTATAGACAGATGCCAAAGAGTGAACATATTTGTTTATAGAAATAAAAAGAGGCTCTCAAAACTGTACAACTGTTAAATGAAAATTCTAGTACCAGGGGTGGGTTGCCCCCCTCATAAGCTGTTGGCCAAGGAGGCCCTGGAGGCCCCCAAATGATAAAGGCTATTGCCACTAATGTTGGTTGCACACCAGAAGAAGCTGGTAACACCCTATAACTGAAGATTCTGCATGATATGAGCACAGGAAAGGGAGAGATCAAGTTGAGACTAAGCTGGAAATTCCCTGCCACCAGATGGCTGGTGCTCATAGTGCCAGGAAATGCTATGCAGAATCACTAGGGGAGAAGGGCTCCAAAAGTTCTGTTAATGATGGACCCCCGAGTGGTGCACTATTGACATGCTAAGCAAGATGTGCCTGCTCATGCAGTAGTGGCTCTACTAATATATGTGCAACCTATAAATTTCTAATTGGATTTAAGGCTCGCTCCTTCAGGAGGAACAGGCTAACTCCCAATGGCAGGGGAAGTTATAGGCCCCAGTGGGGAAGCCACTGCAATTGTTTTGTTAGATGGAGGTGATGCACCTGCAAAGGTATCTTCCAAGCATTTGTGCTTACACCCATAGATTAGGTTATTACAGTAGTCAGTGTTCATTTAGACGTTCCTACTTCTTTTCATTTGTCTTTATATAGTAGGAGGAATACCACTGAGATGGGCCAACAGCCATATCTTGGAAACAGATAATAAAAAGGCCAAGAGTTCAGTATCTCACCACTGGTGGAGGGAGAACTGTCCTACATCTATGTCACCCCCTCCAAGGCTCAGGGACTTTTGTGGAAGAGGATGGTGGAAATAACATAATGGAGGAAGGGGTGGAGTGTGGCATAAAACTGTCCTCTGAATGTCAAGCTTGGTTGCCCCCACTTACTTAAGATCATTTTGATACTCCACAAGAAAGGAGGGTCAGGGAGAGTAAGCCATACCTCCCAACCAATCAGTCGGTCCAAGCTGCACCAGGAGGGACTAAGAGGAAATCACCATGAGGTTCCCAGTCTCACCATTTTGGAACGCTGCTGAAAAGTCACAATATGGAGCCTTTCCAGTGTGACCTTGGGATGGGGAACGCCCTCACACTCCTCTAAGTAACCCCAATAAACTCTTCAGTTTCCCAAACTGTAGTTTGGCAGAATCATACCTTAGTTTGTTGTAAGGACAGTGGGAGGAGGGGGCTGGCTGATGCTTGCACCTCCCAGAAGGAATTTTAGCAACAGAGCCACAATCAGGCTTAGCAGGCTCATACTCAATTTATTATGGTTTCAGATGATAAGAGCTGTAATGATATAAAAGTTAGCTTTCACTGTCTTTCTAAAAGAAGAGACTATGAGAAAACTGGGCACAGTAAGTACAAACCAGAGTAAAGACATTTAAGTATTCTGAAAAGGCTTTATCAATACTTTTATGTTCATATTTTAATTTTAAATGATGCAGTCTAGCTGGGTATGATGGTGCATGCCTTTAATCCTGGCACTCGGGAGGCAGAGGCAGGCAGATCTCTGAGAGTTCAAGGCCAGCCTAGTCTACATAGTGAGTTCCATACCAGCTGGGGCTATAGGAGACTCTGTCTCAAAAAGAAAAAAAAAAGGAAAAAAAAAAAGATGCAGTCTACAAAGAAATTGTTAGCTTGTTCACTGTCGTGTGGTTTTGAAGTAGGAGGTCAGAGATGTGAACAGGCTCAACTCTATAGTCCTAAGGCCACTCTATGTGCTGCAAGTCCAGAAAAACATGCCTCGTGGAGCAATTGTTTTTCCACTTTCAGGTTTTTTTTTTTTCCTAGAAAAGGTCTGGTTTAATTATTGGCTGTAATACATTTTTATGACCTTTCCCTCAGACCTCCCATCCCCAAATTACATGTCATAATATAACATTCAATACAAAGAATATATTCACATTATGAATCATTTCATAATAGTGAAATGGATACTTGTGAATCCTAATGCATAAGGAAAAACTAGATTACTAATAACGTGCCTGCTTTGTTCTATCACTTTATTTTAATTTTTAAAATGTATTGCCTGCATGTATGTGAGTGCCCCCATGTCGTACAATGCCTTGGAGGTCAGAAGAGGGTGTTGGATTCCCCTGGAACTGGAGTTAAGGACGGTTTGTAGCCTCCATGTGGGTGCTGGGAATCGAACCCGGGTCCTCTGCAAGAGCATTCAGTGCTCTTAACTGCTGAGCCATCTCTCCAGCCCCCAAAAGATTTATTTTTATTTTATGTGTATGAGTGTTTTGCCTACACGCATGTAAATGTACCATGTTCCTGCAGTGTCCAAGGAGGCCAGAGGGGGGCATTAGATCCCCTGGAACTGGAGTTACAGGGAGTTGAGCTGACATTTGGGTACTGGGAATGAATCCAGGTCTTCTGCACACAAAAGTGTGAAGTGCTCCCATTGGCTAGGCCATCTCAATTATCTTTTAAATAGACATAGATGTGTATTCCTGGCAGTTATTGCTTTCTGAATATAACAAAGAATAATTCCTATCCTGCTCCTACTTGCTTTCACCTACCATCTCCCAGCTCCTGCATCTATTATTTTAAATAATAATAAATTATAAATAATAATAAATAATAAATAATATTATTTTAAAGTATATAACATCTGCTGGGCATGGTGACACATGCCTTTAATCCCAGCACCTGCTGGCTTCAGGCTGATGCAACACTGATCTATGCTGACAACAGCATCCAGATCCCCTCCTACCCCTGCAGGAGAAGGGATGCTGGGGACTGAACTCAGGATCTTACATATGATAAGCACACACTCTACAAAGCAATACCCCAGGACACAGCAGCCAGGTTTTTAACTACTGCTCCTCCACAGCCTTAACCAGGCTTATAGTAATATGTTCAGACTGGCCTCAGTACCTGTAAAATAAGCTATAAACCCATCTTTGCTTCAGCCTTGGTGAAAATGGAAAAATGTGAATTGCAATGGTTATGGGAGGAAATCTGCTTGTTAATGATGGAATTTTCTTCCTAAATTACTTTTCTGAAGGATCTTAAATGATCTCATTAAAGATATGGAAGAAGAGCTGGAGACATAGCTCAGTTGGTAGAATGCTCGGCTAGCACAAAAGAAGCACTGGGATCAATCCTCAGCATCTCATAAATCAAGTATGATGGTACAAGCCTGAAATTCCAGCACTTAGGAGGTCTAGGCAGGAGGATCAGAAGTTCAAGGCCATTTTCAGGTACATACTGAGTTTTAGGCCAGCATGGGATGTAAGAGATTGTCTTTGAAAAAAAGAACCGCCCTTAATCCCAGCATTTGAGAGGCAGAGGCCAGTCTGGTCTCTATTGCAAGTTCTGGAACAGCTGAGGTTTCAGGGAGACCCTGTCTCAAAAAATGGGGTGGGGGGGATACTAGAGAGATGGCTTAGAGGTTAAGAGCACTTGCTACTCTTGTAAAGGCCCCAGGTTCAGTTCCCAGCATCTACATGGTAGTTCACAGCTGTCTGTAACTCCAGTTCCAGGGACTCCAATATCCTCTTGTGACCTCCATGGGTACTGCACACATGTGGTACATTTACAGATATGCAGGCATATACCCATATTAATAAAAAATTAGTGCCAGCACTTTCACAGGTCCTCCCTTAGTCAGTGGAGCCAGGATTTGGTAGCTGGTGCTGACAGAAAACCTTTGATTACACCCTTACCCTGACACTGTATCAGTGGTAGCTGTCTCTCAGGGGAACAGATGAAAAAAAATTTTTTTAAATTAAAAAATTTAAAAAGTTACCTTAGAAGAAATGGTTAGAGGATAGAATATACCACTGACTACAGAAGCACTTAAAAATATAAGTCAGACTGGCAAAGGTCTTATTTGAGTTTAAACATATGCAGCTTTGGTTACTCAAATGATTCTGTTCAAAATCTTGTGAGAAGCAGTAAGTGTTACTCAAGGTTTTCAACTATCCTCCAAATATTTTTGTTTCAGTCTCTCAGAAATGAAAACTTTAATGAACTCGCATGTAAAGGTGTGCTGGATAGCTTTAGTGTCAACTTGACACACCTGGGTAGAGGTAGCTGGAATGGGGGAATTGCCTCCATTGGACTGGCCTGTGGCCATGTCTGTGGGGAACCTTCTTGACTGTTAACTGATGGGGGAGGGCCCAGCCCACTAGGGACAGTGCCACCCTTGGGAAGGTTGTCCTGTGTTGTATAAGCAAGCAGGTTGAACATGGGTCAGGGGAGTAAGCCAGTAAGCAGCATTCCTCCATGGCCTGTGCTTCAGCTCCTGCCTCCAGGTTCCTGCCCTGAGTTTCTACCTTGGGCTCCCTAATGAACTGTCACTGGGGAGATGTAAGCCAAATAAACCCTTTACTCCCCAAATTGGTATTGGTCAGAGTATTTTGTAAGAGCAATTGAAAGTAAACTAGAACAAAAGGCAACAGAGCTTGTTAAGCTGGTTGTTCTGGGAAATAGTATTTGTTAATATACAGAATAAAGGAAAACAAATGTTAAGTGGCAAATAAACCCAAGAGCTTTGAGACTAATAGCCCATGTTCATATAGCTGCAACTATTATGGGCTGACTGAGATGGACTGGCACCAAAGCACGGGTGATGAGGTCTTACCAGTATCCACCACACATCATGTGAATGCTCTATCATCATGCAGTCCACAGCTGCAGGTGCTGCAGGGCCTTCTGTCCCTCTGTTCCTTCTGTCCTCAGGTCCAGTTTGCTTTGCCTTCTGCTTTTCCTTGGTTGAGAGACCCGGACCTGGAATACCCTCTGATAAATGCATGGCATTCAATCTCTCCAACCTCTGTCACCTCCCAAGAAGCACAAGGCAACACTGTCCCACAGCTACATAGTTAGCACCCTGGCTGTTTCTCAAGGGCCCTGCCATGTCCTGCACTCTGTGGCTGGTACTGGTGATTTGGTCAAGAGTCAAGGCATAGATCCCTTACATCTCATCTATACCTCAAGAGCCAGAAGCAGAAACTGGGTGTAGCACAGTGGTACAGCACTTGCCTAGCTTGTATGAGGCCCTAGGTTTGAGTTGCAGAACTATAAAAAGAAAAGAAAATGCTAGAATATTATCACTTAGATAAGATTGGTTTTTTTTTGTGTGTGTGTGTGGGGGGAGAGGTCCTTTTGAGACAGGGTCTTTCTGTAACCCCAGCTGGCCTGTTACTTGCTATATAGACCGGGCTGGCCTCAAACTCACGGAGACCTGCCTGCTGGGATTAAAGGCATATGCCACCACACTTGGCCACTCAGAAAGTTTTAATAGACAGAATTTAAAAGTTTTAAAGACTTCTGCTTTCACATGTCAAATCAGAACATGATATAATACAAGAGAAGGTACCAACTGATGCTAAAGTTCAAGCAGCATGAAATGTGACAGACAACAGTTGGGCTAGAAATAGCCAAGTATTTTTACTGCTTTCATCTAAGTAACTGTTAGTTTTCTTCTGCTGTGTAGCAAGTGAGCAAACACAGTAACTTGAAACCCCATCTGTTTATTAACTCACAGTAAGTCAGATCCTCCACAGCATGGCAGCATTCTCTACTTAGCGTCTGCTCTGGTGTGAATGTGTGCCAGAAACTTAAGTCTTCAAATTCCTATTAGTGGTATTTGGAGGTGGAGCCTTGGAAACGTAATTAGGGTTAAAGGAGGCCATGACAAGATCCCCTCCCAAGCGCCCCCAATGACATTAGGAAGCAAAACCTGAGCTCTATTTCCCATACAAGACCATCTTCTACCATGTTGTGATGTAGGATAAAGGCCCTCACTGGGTGGCAGTGCCATGCTCTAGGACTTCCTAATCTTCAGAACTGTGGGCCAAACAAACTTCTATTTATCAATTACCCAGTGTGCTAGATAGCTTTAGTGTCAATTTGACACACCTGGGTTGGAGGAGCCTCAATTGGGGAACTGCCTCCATAGGACTGGCCTGTGGCCATGTCTGTGGGGCATCTTCTTGCTTGTTGACTAATAGGGGAGGGCCCAGCCCCCTGTGAGTAGTGCCACCCCTGGGCAGGTGGGCCTGTGTTGGATAAGAGAGCAAGCTGAGCAGGGGCCGGGGGAGCAAGCCAGTAAGCAGCGATCCTTCATGGCCTGTGCTCCAGCTCCTGCCTCCAGGTTCTTGCCCTGAGTTCTTACCTTGGGCTCCCTGATGAAGTGTGACCTGGGAGATGTAAGCTGAATAAACCCTTTCCTCCCCAAGTTGGTATTGGTCAAAGTGTTTTGTCACAGTAATGAAGAAACAAACTAGGACACCCAGTTTGTAGTATTCTGTCACAGTAACAGAAAATGGACTAGGAGAACAAAGTCCTACAAGGGTAGAATGAGGGTGTCACCTGAGTAGCAGGAAAGGACTTGCTTCCTCATTTATTCAAGTTGTTGACAGATTCCTTGCTGTTGTAAAGACAAAGCACCCATTTGCTTTCTGATGTTGGCAAGGGGTCTAGTGTGGCTCCTGGAGGGGGCTCTCAGGTCCTGTCTACATGGCCCCTTCCATTTTCAACACAGTTCCTCATCCTTCCAGTCTTTAAATTCCTCTTATACCACTCAGTAAAGAGAACTCTGTGCTTTTAACTCCCACATGGGACTCGTGTCATCTTACCTCGAACCAGCTAACTGGTAACCTTAACTGCATGTGTAAAATCTCTTTTGTGACTTAATACAGCATCATCATGGAATCAATACCAGGGAGTAGAGATCATGGAAGCAGCTTAGTATTCTGCTCACCAGGTATGGTTCTCAATGCAGAGGAAATATCAGAACCATGTAGGGCACTTTAAAAAAGTATGTATGGGGGCTAGATAAGAGTAACTAAGAGCACTGGCTGCTCTTGCAGAGAGTCCATGTTTGATTCCCAGCACTCACATGACAGCTCACAGGTCCAGGGGATTGGATACTCTCTTCTGGCCTCTGTGGGCACTGCATGCATGTGGTGCATTTACATGCATGCATGTAAGACATTTATCCACATAAAAAAAATAAAAGTCCAGGTTTGATGGCTCACGCTTTTAATCCTGGCACTTGGGAGGTAAAGGCAGGTAGCTCTCTGTGAGATGGAAGCCAGCCTGGTCTACATAGTGAGTTCCAGGCCAACTGGGGCAACAGGATGGTAATGCATAGCTCATTTCAAGATAGTAAGGTTAAAAGAGTTACTTAAAGTCAAAATGCATATGACTATGGGTCTTTAAAATGATTATGAAGCATCTGAGCATTCAACAATTTATTTTGGGTTCTTAATTCTGAGAGAATAAATATAGATCACTTTTGAGGTGTCTGGACAAACAGGTTGAGATGAAGAATAGTTTGTGGGCTGGGAGTGGTGGCCCACGCCTTTAACTCCAGCATTTGAGGCAGAGACAGGTGGATCTCTTTGAGATCAATGAGGTCAGCCTAGTTTACACAGTGAGTTCCAGGCCAACTGGGACTACAGGAAGACCCTGTCTCAATAAACAACTCTCCCCCAACAACAAAACAGAATAGTTTGTGAAAGATAAGTATGACAGATACATGTGATTTATACTTCTCTCTATAGACATTTAACATGAGTGAAAAATATTCTTCAGACACAACCGGTTCTGAGTGTCATCAAACTATTTTGAAACTTAAGATGTTCACAAAAGAAAAAGTCTGCTATTGCAGGAAATATGTTTCTCAGAGCTATGGCTGGTAATACAGCATGGGTCTCCTCCCCGCCATCTAATTATAGCATTATACCACAAAGGGCCAGGTTCTTCTGAAAATTGTAATTGCCTTTTAGCTCCCTTTGGCAGTTCCCTAGATCCACTTCTACACGGCGGGGAAATGACAGTACCCGACCATGGGCAACCACACTCAGCTCTGCCACAGTCCAGGCTTGTTCCTGATTACTCTTCTCAATAATGTTTTCTTAAATTTTCCATTACCATTCCTATTTCCTTGATGTCAAAACCTCCCATAATCAAAATCAGCATTTTCCTGCTTTTCCATTTCCTCAGCAGCATGGCTGACAAGCAGAGGGTTACTGTCACTGAAGCAGCTTCCATTTTGTGGACAGTTCATCCCTTAGGCTTATGGATAGTGGTATAAGTCTTCAACATGACCAGATTTTTTTCTTTCTCTCTTTTATTATTTATTTATTTATTTATTTTGAGCCAGGGTCTCACTATAGCCTTAGCTGGCCTGGAACTTGATATGTAGACCAGGATGACCTCGATTTCACAGAGATCCACCTGCCACTGCTTCTCAAATGCTGGGATTAAAGGTGTATGCTACCAAGTCTGGATTTCTTTCTCTCTTTTTTAAAATGTTTTATTTTATTTTTATTTTATGTGTATGTGTGTATTGCCTGCATGTAGGTAAGTGCACCCATGTTGTGCAATGCCCGAGGACAGAAGAGGCTTTCGGATCCCCTGGAACTGCAGTTACGGACAGCTGTTAGCTGCCATGTGGGTGCTGGGATTCGAACCTGGATTTTCTGCAAGAACAGCCAGTGTTCTTAACCGTTGAGCTATCTTTCCAGCCCCTCTTTCTCTTTTTTGACAGAAAAGGAGAAGAGTGCCAAAGATACCAAGATAAAAATATTTATACTCTTTGGTAGACTCTCATTTTAAAATATTAGATGGTTGATACAACAAAGAGAATCTCAGTTCTGCTTTCTGCCTAATTGGGCTGGGTCTTGGCTGAGCCCCGGTTTCTTGCTAACTTCTTTCTCTGTCCTGGTTACCTCCAAAAGCTTGAGGTTGGGAAGGGTGTGTTATAATGTCAGAATCTTTTTTTTTTTTTTCTATCTTTTTGAGACAGGGTCTCCCTGTAGTCCCAGCTGACCTAAACTCATTATGTAGACCAGGCTGGCCTTGAACTCACAAGGATCCATCTGCCTCTGCCTCCTGAGTGCTGGGATTAAAGGTGTGCACCACCACGCCCGGCTATAATGTCAGAATCTTTACACGTGTTAGAATAAAGGAGTGAATGTATGAGAAGGCTAAGCCTAAACAGAATTTAGTAGGAATATCTACTTAGTATGAACTGTAGAATAACAAAATGTCTAGAAGAAAACATAAGACAGCTTCATGAATTTGGGATAAATGATTCTTAAAAAAAATTTTTTTTTATGTGTATACATGTACTGCCTGCATGTGTATAAGTGTACCTGTGTTGTGAAATGCCCCCAGAGGTTGGAAGAGGGCATTCAACTCCCCTGGAACTGGAGGTACAGATGGCTGTCAGCCACCATGCTGGTGCTGGGAATCAAACCGAGGTCCTCTGCAAGAGCAGCCAGTGTTCTTAACCACTGAGCCATTTCTCCAGTTCCAGGATAAATGATTCTTAAATAGGACACAAAAAAGACTTAATCACTAGAAAAAAAATGGATCAATTAAATTTAACGAAAAGAGTTCTGGGCTGGCAAGGTGGCTCATTGGTTAAAGCCACTTGCTGCCAACCTGATGACCTGTGTTCCATCCCTGAAATCTATGTAAAAGTGGAAGGAGAGCTGGGCATGGTGACACACACCTTTATTCTCAGCACTCAGGAGGCAAAGGTAGGTGGATCTCTGTGAGTTTGAGGCCAATCTGGTCTACATAGTGAGCTCCAGGCCAGCTAATACTACAGGGAGACCCCGTTTCAAAAAAAAAAAAAAAAAAAAAAAGTGGAAGGAGAGAACTGACTCTACAAAGTTACAAAGTTTCCTCTGACCTCCACACATGTGGCCTGACACCCACACATATGCAGTGGTGGCATGCATGCATCCATACATGCATACACATACACAAAATGAATAAAAAATGAATAAAAAAATAATGGGCTGGAGAGATGGCTCAGTGGTTAAGAACACTGTTCTTGCAGAAGACGTGGGTTGGAATCCCAGCACCCACATGGCAGCTAACAACTGTCAGTAACTCCAGTTCAAGGGGATCCGACAGCCTCTTCTGTCCTCTGCAGGCATTGCATGACATAGGTGCACTTACTTACATGCAGGCATAACATTCATACACATAAAATAACTAAAATAATAAATAAAATATTTTTTAATGTAAAAAATATTTCTAATTAAGAGTGTTCCTCAAGGGGCTGGAGAGATGGCTCAGCAGTTAAGAATACTGGTTATTCTTGTAGAAGATCCAGGTTCAAATCCCAGCACCCACATGGTAGCTAACAACTGTCCATAACTCCAGTTCCAGGGGATCTGACAGCCACTTCTGTCCTCTGCAGGCATTGCACGACACAGGTGCACTTACCTACATGCAGGCAATATACACATACACGTTAAAAATAAATAAATAAATAAAAATATTTTTTAAAAAAAGAGTGTTCCTCAAAAGACTGAAATTCCAAGCCACATGAAAGAAATATTTGCAATATATCTATTTAATAAAGAACTTATATCTAGAATATACAAAAAATTCCTAAAAATAAAAAGACAATTTTTAAAAAATTTTATTA